GTGCCAAATTTGGGTAGATATAAGACAAAAAAAGAATTAGTTGAATTGGTTAAAAAATAAAAATCTTAGAAGGGTGGTCAGTCCTTCACCGGGACACACTGTATAAGGTTTTAGGTAAAAAGGTAAAACGATAAAACCTTGTATCATTAAAATCATCTCAAAAAGAGCTATGCAATGAATAAATGATATACTTACAGGGTGTCCCATTAAAAAAAAAACAGAGCTTTGGTTAATATTCCAAAATCGTTGGCACCTGGAAAAAAAATGGTCATGCCACTGGATTCTACTTGAAAAACTACCTCTAGAAAGTATTTTTCGTTTTTAGATATCTCAACTAATAAAGAAATTAGGCCTTTTAAAATTAAACAAAATTTGAAAATTGCCCTGTATTTCCTAATCGCATCAAGTTAGGCAACCCTGTACATACACACATACCTACAAAAAAAAAACTTTATTTTTTCCCAAGATAGATTTTGACATTGAAAACTTTGAAACATTAACAATAACGTAATGAGGTGTTTCTGCAGGTTCACATCAGTTTTTCAATAGCGACCAATAAGCAGCATTAGCGGCATTGTTTATGTTTCAAAGTTGACAATGCCAAAATCTATCTTGGAAAAAAATAAACCATAAAGTATGTTTTTTTTTTAAAGATTCAAATTCAAATTCAAATATGCTTTATTGTCAGAAAATTATAGTACATTCTATTGACAAAGCAACATCCTTAATAATATAAAATATAAGAACAGATAACAAGTAAAAAAGACACTACAGCAGTGGCACTAGCAAGTGGTAAAATGACTAACAATAAAAGAAAAATTCAGTACTTATTAGGAAATTTGTAACATTTTTAAAATTTAGAACACATCAGTTATTATGGCATTGTGAATCTATTACTAAATCAGGTAGACCCTGTCCTACAAGTAGTACAAAACATAAAACATAAAACATAAAGTTGAGTTTTAGACACTTACATCACAATACAGACACAAGATCCTGTTAAAGGTTGTCATCAAAATACTCGTCAAGAGAATAAAATGTTTTATCTGCCAATAAACTTTTAACCTTATATCTAAAAGATTTATAATTTTGATCCGTTCTTAAATTTAATGGTAGTTTATTGTACATTTGTATACTTTTATAAATCAGAGAATCCTGAGTTAGAGAGAACCTTGGTATAGGCAAAGGTATCAGGTTGTAGTTCCTTGTTGGATAGGAGTGCGCATGTGTAGTACCCTGGTACCTCTTGTGAACTAAACAGACAGTCTCCAAGATAAAGAGATCCACTAAGGTTAACATTCCCCCCCTCCTAAATAATTCTCGGCAGTGATCTCTGAGACCTGCTCCAAAAATATACCTAACAGAACGTTTCTGAAGAGTAAACACTGATTGAAACAAACACTTACTGCAGTTCCCCCAAAAAGCAATTCCATAGCGCAAGTGGGACTCAACAAGAGCAAAATAAGTGGCCTTAGCCATAGACTGACCCAATTCATAGCACGTTTGGCGTACAGCATAGCCTCCCGCTGCAATTTTTTTATTTAAGTTGATTATATGCTGGAAAAATTTTAAATTGCAGTCAATATTAATTCCAAGAAATTTAGTATCCTGACTGAGACCGATTGACTGATTTCCAAGTTGAAGATTATCAAATGTAAATTTAAAACTGAGAACTTTGGTTTTTTCAATATTAAAACTTAGAAAATTTGAATCACACCATGCTTTTATTTGATGGAGGTCATTAGAAACAATCTCTTTCAAGAGCAGTGGGTCCTTATGGTGCCAAAGGGGCGTAATATCGTCAGCAAAACCAGTGAACATACACTCAAGTGGTAATTCAAAAAGGTCATTAACATACATCAAAAACAAAATAGGTCCCAGGACAGAACCTTGTGGAACTCCTGTGTCAATTGCTAAGGCTGATGATATGGAACTCCTGTTATTAACCATTTGGGTCCTTTTTGATAAATATGATAATTCCCCAAATCAAAAATTTAGTGACTATGTTGGCAACACAAGCCTTTTCTACATAAAAAATTTGAAAGCATTGACAATTTTACATTGTATTGCCAACAGAATGTCATTTTGACTTTTATCTTTAAAAAAAAAAACAGATTTTACTTAGTTTTAATTAATTTTTCACAGAATTGAAGAATTTTTTTCCATTCTGATCGAGGGGTGTTTCACCCACTAAATTTTGTGCACATTCTGTATTTGACTGTATTGATTGCATCAAGAATGATAGTTGACTACATTGACTTTTGAGCATTATTGAGTAATATCTATAAAGATTGCATCAGGCTCCACTCGCAGCGACTGCTCACGATTTTTTGCGAGCGTATATGGAATGTACGCCACTGTATGTGACTGTGACTGCATGGAATTTATAACGATTGCAAGCGACTGTATCACGACTGCATGAGTATGTATGGACTGTAGAAGAATGTATGGACAGCATATACATGAATGTATGATATTTGTACACCTACTGCATGAGTGAAACACCCCTCGATTCCGATGTAAGTTGGTTTATATTCATCCTTGAGTAGGTAAACCTGCATATATTTTGTTCATCATTTCATCACCAAATATTTTGTTACCTTTCTTTGTTGTATAACTGTTTAATTAATTTTTAACTGCTTCAAGACTTAATGTTCAATGTAATTTTTCTTTGAAAAACTAGTGTAATATTCTTTTGAAAACCTAGTGATAAAAACCTGAATAGAAAACTTTTGGAACATAAAGATCTCATCATACTAAAATTTCAACATTTTCCAGGAAAAAAAAAAACATGAGAAATTCTTAATAAGTATTATTAACTTTTAACAATTAAATTGGAAAAAATGCATCCACCCATATTTTAATGTTCTTCTGAAATACTAATAATAAGAAACTTGAGAAATTTTGGGCCTGAGACAAAGAAAATTAAAAACTTATCATACTAAAACTTCAAGTTTATCCAGTGGAAAAAAACAAAATGAGAAATTTTTAAAAATTATCTCTCAATAACAAAATTGATGGAAAACTTTTCAAATTTTAAGGCTGAAAAAAAATTAGCAGTTCATCATAATAAAATTTCAATATTTTCCAATAGAAAACAACAATATTGGAAATTCTTAAAAATCAACTCCCAATAATCAAATTGAACAAAATACATTCTCTTACAGTTTACCTAATCTTGTTCTGAAAAACTAGTGACGGAAAATTTTTAAAATTTTGGGGCTACAAAAAGGAAAATAAAGAGCTCATCATACTGAGATTTCAACATTTTCCAGTGGAAAACAACAACATGGGAAATATTTAAAAATTAGGTATCTCCCTATAACTAAATTGAACAAAATACATCTAACAGTTTAACCTTTTTCCGGAAAAGTAGGGATGGGAAATTTTTGAAATTTTGAGGCTGAGAAAAAGGAACCGAAGAAGCTTATCATATTGAAATTTAAACATTGTTAAATAGAAAACAACAACCCAAGAAATTCTTGAAAATCAATCCTCAATAATCAAATTGAACAAGATGCACCTTCCTACATTTTAATTTTTTTCTGAAAAATTCAAGGAAAAACTAGTAATGGCAATTGGCAAACTCATCTAAAATTTTAATATATTCCAGCATCAGAAATTCTGAAAAATCAACTTTCAATAGAGCTTATAGCTTTGTTTTGGTTTCACTCAGAACTAGTTCGGAATCATTCTGCACATGCGCATATTATAAAATGCGTTTTCGTTTTTTCAGAATCGTAATCGAACTGTGTTGACAGTGTTTTGGTTTATCTAGATTAATCTAGAACTATTTAAGAATAGTTCTGGGACTGTTCTAGAACGGTTCTCCCAGTTCTTGCTCTAAAGGAGGAACTGTTTTAGAATTTTCTGATTTGCGGCGTGTTTTGGTTTTTTTGGTCCCGAATCGGTTCAGAACTAGTATTAGAACAGTCCTCTATTATTTTTTGTGCGCAAGCAGTTCTGCGCAATCCCAGAACTGTTCCAACTTTCGAGCCAAAACAAAGCTTATTATTATACTGAACTGAAGTTTAAAATTTTTCAATTAAAAACAACAAAACGAGGAACTCCTAGAAATTGAATTGAAAAAAATGCAACAGGCTCTCTCAAATTTTAATGTTTTTTTTTTCTGAAAAACTGGAAAGGGGAAATTTCTTAAACTTTTTGGGTGGAAAGTGGAAAATGAGAAGTTTAATACTGGAATTTTTCCCAAATTTTTCAGTGAAAGCAAACCCTTCAAAAAAAAAAAATTCATTGAACTGAGGCTTGAACAATACAAATGAACACTTAATTATTTCTATTTGCATTTATATGCTGATCGTCATATAAAGATAAATAAAGACGTAATGCGGGGGTTTATTATTAGAATAAAATTCAGTACCTAAGTCGAGACTGAGGTCGAGACCTAAGTTAAGTGACACTCAATGCATTTATTTACATAGTCAGTAGGTAAATATTTATGTTTTTGTCAAAATTATTTAAAATTTTACACTAATTTGATAACATAGGTATATAAATATATGCTCGAATATATGTAATCAATTATGATTAACACAATTTATGTAAATAAAATTAAACAGTGTCCAGCCCAAATAATCAATTATGTATTATCCTACATAGGATTTTAAAATAAAACCTAATTAGTACTTAAAAATAAATGAGGCAATTTAATTAGGTCTTGTGTTTAGTTATTGGTTTTCCTAACGACCGTAACCCCATAAAATCCCTATATTTACATTACTTAACAGACAAATATTATCTCAAAATAAAAATTGCACGAAAAGCAAATTTGGTTTGTAATTTATTGACGAAAAATAATCAGTTCAAGCCCAAAAATCTAGTTGACCCATTTGAAAATTCAAAAAATCAATATCCAACTCCCTCCAAGACATAAAGGACCTCTGTCAGACAGGAATCGATTTTTCAGCCCTTATTTACTGTTAAGGGGGTTGAAGGGCCTCAACCCTTCGGAGGAAAAATTATCGAATGGTTTCACTTACCCAACAAACTGCCCGTAGAATTACGGGGGGCCTTTGAACGAAAGAAATCGGATCAAAAGAGCCCCCAGCTTTACCACCGCCGTAAGCTCCGGTACCCTCCATGTTTTGATCGCGACTAGTGGATTTACTTTACTGCGCCAGTTTGGTTGCGCACAAAGATTTAAAAAAATATTTCTAATTTAAATTATACAGTTTTAAAACAACTTATAATAATTTTATATTAAAATTATTTTTAAAATATTGTGTTTTTCAAATTCAAAAATTTATTTAAAAATAAGGAGCTTTTTTATAAGGTGTTTTCTTTTTTCCTCTACTAGGTGCACTTTGGTTGTGTGTACCTTCTACTCTGGGACTCTGGAACGTGTTTGGGAAGACACTCGGAGTAAACTGAACATGTTCGTTTCAACCGCAAGACCAAATAGCTTTGTTCGCGGAACAGCTTCCGAACTGGGGTGCGATTTTCGAAACTATTCGAGTACATTACGTACACGAAATTTGCCTGCTCCCCATTTAATTTACATTGCTGTCAGTCAAATTTCGTATACTCGAATGGTTTCGAAAATCGCACCACTGATTCGGAACAAGTGTCAGAGTTGTCTTAGAGTGCATGCATGCATCATTATGGATCAATTCAGGATTTTATTTTACCGCCGCCAATGATTTCAGCTCAGCACAGGAAATTAATACCGGGAATACTTTGCCACACAATAATTTGTGAATAAAATCATTTAGAATCGATCCGGGAACGATTTTATCGTGTTCGAAAAACTGCAGCTGAAAATTTGAAGTTCAATGAAGCAAGTGAATAATTCTGAACCAGTTATGAAACTTTATCGCACGAATCCCTAACTATTCGCGGATCACCTAGTAGAACTGATTCAGAATCGATTCGGAACCGATTGAGCTACAGTTAAAAATTTGATTTGGTAACGCAGGTGAATAATTCTTGAATCAGTTATGGCCGTTTGCACCGACCATTTTAAGCGAGTAAAAATGTCACTTTAAACGTTGATTATCGTTAAACCTCCCTTAAAATCGTTGGTGCAAATGGCCATTGGCCCATTGCCATTGGTTCTCTGGATTCTTCCCGCAAGACGCCTTTGTTCGTGAATCACTTTCCGCCATCATCACTTTTTCATTGTAAACGATTCCGGAACAAGAACTCAGAACTCTTTGCTTTGACACTACTTATAGCTCAGAATTGGTAACATATTGATTCAGAATCCAATAGATCGTAGGTGAAAATTTTGAATTTAGTAAAAATAATTTCAGTTAATCAGAGTCGCTTTCCAGTGATGCACTTTAGGCACTCCTGAGCTGCTCTAGAGCGCCCGGACTGTTTATAGGCGTTCCTGTGCATTACAGTTTCGCACAACTAAACTGTTTTTCCTGTCCCCGGGTGTGGAGCACCTTAAAATTCGTCACTGAAAAGCGGCTCCTTACCGCACGAAGCCTTTGTTCGTGCATTGAACTCCAAACTTTTTGTCGACCAACTATTGTAAATAAAGTCGCAAAAAATTAAAACTTTACATATAGAGTATAGAACTTGTGGTCCATAAATCACTAGAACTGGTGGAACTAATTGAGAATCGATCCGGAATCGAATCTCGTTGAACAGCGAACAATCAGTGTAAAGCCTAGTACTCATAACTGCGAAATTCGCATTTTTTTGACATTGCTTCGACAATTTGACGTTTGATACACGCATAAAACGTCAAATTGTCAACGCAATGTCAAAAAAATGCGAATTTCGCAGTTATGAGTACTAGGCTTAAAGCCTAGTACACATGCGGATTTTTATTTTGCGGATTTTTTTCTATTGCTCCATTTTATTTAAATTTAACAGGTTTAAATATATTCGACCAATAAACAAAAATCCGCAAAATATAAAAATCCGCAATTCGCGTTTATGAGTACTGGATTTAACTAAAATTTTGGAATTTAGTGATTCGTAAACCACAGAGAAGTGCTCTGCGAATAGCTCCAAATAGTTCAAAATCTAAATCCTTACCGTACGATGCTAAAGACTTTGGTCGCAGATCCGGAACAGTAAATGAATACTTGAAACAGTTGAAACTCTCTACTACTCAGCTATTTGTAGCATAAAAAAAATCTCAAACTTATGGCTCAGAACTGAGAACTGATTCAATCGCTCCAGGAACCGATTGACCCGTGTACAAATAACCGAAATTAAAAATTTGGAGTTTTGTAATGCAAATCAGAAAGCCGGACCGGAACAATTTTGAACCGAAAACCGGAATCAAACCTTTTTTTTTTGCGGACCGGAACGGGAACGGAACCTATATTTCGTAGAAATATTGTAACCGAAACCGATATAAAATAATTGGTTCTCACCGGTATTAAGCCTAGTACTCATAACTGCGAAATTCGCATTTTTTTGACATTGCGTTGACAATTTGACATTTTATGCGTGTAATAAACGTCAACTTGTCGAAGCAATGTCAAAAAAATTTCGCAGTTAGGAGTACTACGCTTTAATCGGTTTCAAGATTCCATAAATAGGGCAATCCAACCAAGGAGAATACACACTCTAAGCTAAGGAGTGCTTATCGGCCTCGTTTTTGGTAATCGCCGCCATATTGGTTTTCAACTGTTTTCAACCATTGCCGACGTCATAACTAAGTGGTCAGCTGTTTAAAGAGTCTAACGTCAAGGCGAGAAACGCCATGCTGCTTACGTCACAACTGGTTGTTTGGGGGGGGGGTTAGGGGGGGATTTGTTACACACAGGCCTTATCAGGCTAAGCCATTCTGTAGTAGTAGTGTATATCATCCTTTAATACACACTGCTACACAGGATTGCTTATCGGCTTCGTTTTTGGGAATCGCGGCCATATTGTGTAGCACCATTGGCGACATCATCAACTACGTCGTCAGCTGCATGCGCCGCCAGACGTAGGTTAATTAATGTCTTAGATTTTAGATTATTGTACTAAAACCTTGGACAAGGAAAAACGAGGGGACGGGTAACGGTAACAGGCATAAGAAGCTTGCGCGTGATGTGCCATTGTCCTGGTGCCAAAGAAGCTTGACACCCGACATATTTTCTGTGTTTATGCGACAAAAGCGAATGAAATATATTTGTTTTAGTATCTGATCAAATGGTGATTTCTGATGCTATCAATTGCATGTATGCATAACTCAAAAGCCCCCGGAATCATAACATGTGGTGCAAACACCCTACGTCAAGGCGAGAAACGACACGCTGGCTACGTCATCACTGGTTCTTTGGCGTGATGAGTGCTTCGAAATTTGATTTACACAGGCCTTATGAGGATGAGTTATCCTGTAGTAGTAGTAGTTAGTAGTGTCGTTATTCTTATGCTGTTTGGTCGTATCGTATCGTAATAAATTTAACACGCGAAAAACATAGTGTTAGAAAGTGCGCTTCATATACGGAACGCTTTTCCAATCGGAACCGCGTTCCGTATAGCTTTTTCATAGGGGGGGGGGGTTAGAGCAGTGGCGGCCCGTGGTCTGGGAAGGGTTTCAATTTTAGATCAGACGATATACCTGGCATATAGGGACGCCACCTTTGAAAATAAGTTGAACTGGGAAAAAAAAAACGTTAATTGAAAGAAAAATGAGAAACAAAAATCCTTCAAATCTGAGAACAGATGCATTACACTTTACTATATATCTATACACAAGTCCCCTCCGGCATCTCCGGATGTTGCTTGATGTTGGGTTAGTTTGGATTAGTTGAGTTAGTTGAGATGGTTGGAAAGGGAGATCCAAGGATACTACACACTACACAGGATAGCCTATATCTTCATAAGGCCTGTGTAGATCAAATCTCAAGCCCCCACCACGCCAAAGTACCAGTTATGACGTAGAAATCGGGTCGATTCTAAATAGTTTCGACGTAGGGTGTTTACACCACAGGCTATCATTCTCCTAGCTTTTGCTTTATGCATGCTTGTGTTAGTACATCAATTAACATTCTAAAAGAACCCTTTCCAGATCTCGTCTGCATCTTCCTCGATGCCTATTATGTTAATCAAAATTAAATAATATTTTTCATCATAAATGTATATTCTAAACTACGACCGCTGGCGCAAACAGTTAACGACATCGTTGATGATGTCACCAACGGTGCAACACCATATGACCTTGATTCCAAAAATCAAGGCCGATAAGGAATCCTGTAGTAGTGTATATTATCCTTGAGGGAGACCGTAGGTAACGACGACGCATGCGTTTCGGAGAATTTTTCCGGGAGAAACAGGATTGCGCTGTTGCTAACCCGGAGAAAACACCTAGTAATCCGTAGCTTGGAGAACATATGCGAAAACCCGTAGACTCCGGGTAAAACCCGGAGAGGTGACAACCCTTGCATGCACAAAAACCTTTATTTTTGTTAAAAAAAAATAATTTATTCAGTTCAATGGGGGGGGGGTTTGAACCCCCAAAACCCCCCCCTTATTTACGTCCTTGGTGTAACCCTAATCAAGGTTGGGAACGAAACCCAGCCGTAATTCATCAATAGACAATTTTTGGCGAGGATAATCATCTCTGGGATAATCAAGCATAATCTAATTGTTTTTTTTTGTGGATACACTCTACAAACACCATTGGTAATTACATGTAAAGGAATAAACATTCACAAATACAACCATGCACCTTGCCGGGACTCGAACCCGGGACCATCAACATGCGCAGCAAATCACTATCCACTACGCTGTCGGCATTTTAATGGGTTATGAGATATGTCAATTGTGTCATACTCCCTCTCCATCAAATTCTGGGCCTGCGAATGACGTCACCCGCAAACCTTGATAGAATGCTTGCGATTCAGGCTGTGCTAGTGAGTCAATTTTTCCGCCGATTTTAAATGTAGAAAAAGTGATTTTTGGTCTGTACTCACTAGCACAGAAAAAATTAAGTGTTTTTGATCCTCGAATATCCCAGAATTTGATGGTGAGTGAATTAGGGGAGTATGGTATGACACAGTGGCGGCTGGTTAGATAACAAATTGGCGGTGCACACCCCGAGGGGGCGGCGGGGAAGGGGAACCGGAAGCGCACGATTTTTTTTTTTTGATGCCACGCCCAAATTTTGATCTGAGTAATTTTTAAGTATTTTTAATTCAAACGTGCGCATTCTCCATTTTTACAAAATAATAAATAAGGTGAAAAATTTCTGAGTTTTTATTATTTCTAAATCTGGAAAAGGTATCCTAAATTTTTCGAATTGACCTCCAACGAATGGGTAGAGCAGCGCTGCCAGATCGGCAGATCTACCGATTTTCAAATGAGTCTACCGATCTCTCGAATTTAAACCACTTCTCACGATTTTTCTGCAATTTGTTGGTAATGTAACAAATATGTAAGTAAGGTTCGTTTCACCAGGGTTCATACTTGACCTTGAAACTTGAAAAAAAAGGGTTGTCGTAGATTAATTCATATGACATTCAATTTTTTTGACAAATCTAAGACGTTTTCTCGCGGGGCGAATGGTTCGAACCACGGTTTAAACCAATTTGTAGATGACGTCATCACTTGTGATTGCAAGAAAATGAAAGGTTTGAACCACAGTCTTATGTCAACGAAGAACAAGCCATAAGCCGGTTCGAACTTTTTTGAACCAGGTTCAATGTGACGTCATTGGTTCAATGCGAGAATGTACAGGTTCGAACCTAATTGAACCGGGTCGAACCAGTTCCACCGCGAGAAAACAGTTTAAAATGAATGACATTTGTTAAACAAGGAAGGCAAATGCTGGTGGCAAGTACAAACCCTGGCGAAACAAACTTTTTTTTAGATATATATTTAATTTAAAATAAAAAATAAAATTGTTTCTCATTTCGCAAGAAAATCTAAAAACTAATGACATCTGACATCGTGTCTCGTGTGTTACGTCACTGATGATCACTTATGGAAACGCTATTGGAATTGAAAGTCGCTATAAATAATAGGCAATTTTTCGCGAGGATAATCAAGCATACTCTATTATGCTCAGATGTTATGTGTCAATTATGTCATACTCTACTCCCCCATTATCAAATTCTGGGATACTCGAGGATCAAGAACACTTAACTTCTTTTGTGAGAACAAACCGAAAATCACCTTTTCTATATGTAAAATCGACGAAAAAATTAACTCACTAACTAGCACAGCCTGAATCTGCATTCCATCGCGGTCTGCAGCTGACGTCATGACTATAAGCTGCTGGTAGTGACGTCACTCGCAGGCCAGGAATTGGATGGTGAGAGAGTTAGGGAGTATGACACAATTGAAACATAACATCTGAGCATAACCAGTGTTTGATTATGCTCGCGAAACACTGAAACAGGAATCACATTGCACAATAAAATTATGAATACATTTATTGAATGGTTTTACACACCTACGCAAATTGTGGCGGAATGATGTCATATGACGCAACCGCCTAGCTACCGATTTTTAAACGAAAATTACCGATTATTTCTCCAAGAATCTACCTACTTCATTCCGTCAGAAGTGGCAGCACTGGGGTAGAGAAAGGTTTTATCAATAAATTGCTAATTTTATTCATTTTGTCTAATGTCTATTTATTGGTAAAAAACACTAATTTGAATTTCAATTAACAATGATGCATTTACGCACTACATACCTTGCGTTCGGTATTTTGCTCAAAGTGTAGAGCGAGCTGAGCGGAGCCGTAATCACGTGACCAGCGAGCGAACGGAGCAGTTGAACGCTGTATAAAAGTACCGGAAATTTTAATAAACTAACGCGAATGAGGCTGCACCGAGTACACTTTTTAAATAAACGAACGGTAAAGTCAAGCTCGGAGAACTCAGACCAAAATAACGAACGCACGGATAACATCCTCAAGGCGACTGTCAATAGTGTGAAACTGTCAGATCGTGTACTTGCACTACTTGCCCTATTGGAATCCGGGCCCAAGATGCAGTAGAAAAAACAGTTAAAATTTTAGTTCGGACAGTTAAACAGATCAAAAAAAGTCAGTGCACTTAGAAGAGTCAGAGTAGAATTACTAAAAACCCAAAATTATTTTCAAATCAGCCTAATGTTATACTGAAGAAATTCATTGTTTAGTAGAGCAGAGTCAATGCAGGAACAGAACTAGAATAGTCAAGGTAGTTCGATAGTTGAACAGTTCAGAAAGAGTTAGTGCACTTGGAACAGTCAGAGAAGAATTATCCAGTTCTGAATCTTGACCAACCAAATCGGAGCAAGTTGAGTGCATATATTTTATAACAGAGAGGCAAAAGAAAACATTCGGAGTCATAACTGTAAAGTGAAAGCAAACTGAAAACACCTAATTAGTACCATAACCTTAAAATTTGTTTACTTTTTAAAAACGCGACAACTTGAAAAATGGGGCGCAAAATACCCGGAAGAAAGCACAGGGGCGTTAAAGATCCCGAAAAACAACAAGCAGAAAGATTTGCCAAGTAAGTACAGCGTTTTCTATCATCAATCATAGCTCCTATTATTATTATTATTTAATTTAAATGTTGACTAGGGTTCTTATTCTTGAAACAGGAGAGCAGTGTTAACAGGAGAGCAGTGTTCACAGGAAAACGGGTGTTCCGTCTTTGTTACTTATATTATCATTTGCATATCATTGAGAAAGACGGAATACTCGTTGTCCTGGGAACGCTGCTCTCCTGTTTTAAGAATAAGGACCCAGAGTTGAGAAAATGTTCTACTTAAATTTTCTCTTGCATGCTTTTTAATCAAGGCTGTTTTATTTATAGAATAAAAGACAAAATAAATGCACCTCCATCCCACCCAGACGACCAGCAAATTCCAAGCAGTCTTTCCAGGATAATTGACCTAAAAAATAAGGTGAAACAAGGCTTGTTCAATAAAAAAAAGAAGCAAAAAAAAGATAAAACAAATACAATTAAAAAAATATCAAGAAACCCCACTCCAAAGTTTGAACAATTTCCTGGAGAAACTGACAGAGAATTCAAACATAGAATGAACAGAATATGCAGCGAAGTCATCAAAGAAGCAGCTTTCGAGGACAAATATCAAGTGGACATTAAACGGAATCAAGATGGCGAGGTGGAAAAAGTTGTAAAAAGGCCCAAAGACGAACTGGAACAATTAGTCAAAAAACTGAAGAAAGAACAAAAATCCAAAAAAAATTATAAAGGCAAGAAAATAAATCAAACAGATACTGAGCCCAAACTAACAAAATCACAAAAATGGGCTTTGAAAAAGACTGCAAAAAAGAATAAGAAACAAAACAACAAGGATATAGATTTTGGTTTTGTGCCACAAAAAGAGAATTTCAAATTTGGGGATGTTGTACATGCACCACCGACACTTGTGGCCCCAAAAAAAGTTCAAAAAATACAGGGAGCTGCAAGGCCTGGTCAAAAGGAACTTTTATTGAAATCAATGCTAACTGATGACACAAAAATAATTAATAAGACAGAAAATAATAATACTAAGAAAACTAGTTTTACAAAAGTTGCAAACAACTTGGATAAAAAGGGGAAAAGAAAAGACATGCCCCATGCTTTGAGAAGACAATTGGACAAGCAACAAAAAGAAGTTATCGAGGCTTATAAGAAGCTAAAATCTAAAAAACACACTGGTTCATCAGGAGTTTAAATATTAGTGTTGAGATGTTTCAATTATTAAAAAAAAAGTCAAAATATATCAAAATCAACTAAACTTTTATTTCTAACCAGTCTGTACAAAAACCTCAACAAATGATATTAAAAAAAAAAGAACAAAATTTTCTAATACATAATAATTATATACAATACTTAATTAATCAAATTTATCACAAATTATCATGTGATAAATATATCACTTAAGTTATTTAAGGCACCTTGAAATTGCAAATAATGCAATTTGTGTATTCACAATCGGCTTCTTAATTTCAGGTGCCAAAATCGAATTTATAACATCCTATATTAAAGAGAGCATTTTCACTCAATAATTATACTACAAACTAATAACAAACTTACCAAATATCAAAAATTAAATAATTTTTTTAACAAACAAACAAATCAATCTGGCATCTTACTTGAGTATTTTCTTCAGTAATACATACTGAAATTTTAATGGCAAATAATTGCTTCTGTTTCAAAAAAAGAAATGCCAAGCATTAGAGTTTAAATAATCACTGAACATTCTTACGAATAATAATAATACTCGGACATAATATTCAATAAGTTCTTTTTGGTAAACTGACAAATTATAGATTCGAAAAATCATCACCTTTTATTTCCAATTGATGGAAAACAAAGTTCAAAAACTCCTTAAAAATTAACGGATTCATATTTTTGCCCACATTATAGAGCAAGAAAAATTGACCATGTGAAATATTCCACACAATAATCCTCAATTTTTTCCTGTTAAAAGTACGAGCCTGAGCTATCAATATATACAGACGAAAGTGCACCCAACAAATAATCATTGCTCTGTAAATTAGGGCGGCGATAGTCAGCAAAAACAGACCTGCTATCCAGAACCAGAGGATAAGGAAAAACTTTTCGTTTAAAACGTTCAAAGGGAGCACACAGAGGGCGTCCCTGTTGACGAAACTACCCGATTGTCCGAATTTATGGTAAGTGCATTTGGTTCTTTTTGGGAAGACTGCGTTGTAAGTTTGCGGCCAGGGTTTGGTGACTACGTCGTAGCCGTAGAGGGAAAAGCGTCCTTCCAGGTACCAGTCCATTATGTAAACTTGTATTATCTAAAAGTGGATAAATGATTTGGAACAAACCAATATTCAAAATCATGATTAAAAAGCAGAAGATTTGAAAAAAATCTGAAATTTGCGGTAGGTAATACATATAAGGTCTGTTCCAACCCGCCAAAAAACTGTGTTTGAAAGTTTGAAGAACGATTTCGGTTAATTGGACAATGATTTCACCAGCTATGTTAGACATTGGAACATATTTGAGTTATAATGTGTACTCACCAAATTACACAAATTCAAAACTTCACAAATAGCGAAACGATAAGCGAAAATGTCGTGGTTTTCTTGGTTCAAAATAAACCGTTTTATTTGTTCCTTTCGATCTGGCGACCATTTTTCTGATATAAGCGGACCACCTGAAATAATTGATTTTCTTTTTAGTTGAATGTATGTATAAAAGAATGATTAATATGAAGATATTGAAAATGTATCTTATTTCCAAACAAAATAAATATTGATTGAATGCATTTTTTTCTATACACAGTCACTTTACTGCTACCAGATGCTTAAAAAGTTTATATCGGCTAAGTACTATTAAATGATTTTGTCTATGCAATAAAATCACTAACTTCTAAATATTTATTTAGGTAAACAATAATTTGAATTTTTCCATTATAAGACCACATAATAATTGTAAAATTTCACTGGTATGTGTATATTATTCGAAAAAATACTTACCAAGACCATCTACAACTTCTCCCAATCGATTTCCTTCCCAAGTTTTCCATAAATACCTTGGCATGTAAAACAATAAGGCTTGCAAGAAAAAAAGCAGGCATATCCATTGGTAAAATAGTAAAGTGTATGTACGCTTTCCCGCTTCGTTTCCCAATCCGTATATGAAATTTTCTTCTGGAAAAAAAAAATGTCAGCTTAAACTTCATTGAAAAAATAAAATTTGCCCAATCTAACTAACACAGTAATTTATAAAAGTCGATATTATAATGGCTATTTCCACCATCGATTTTAGGTAGAGATTGAAGTTTACCGGTAATTTTCATTTGATCTTTCTCGGTGGTAATTTACCGGTAATTTTGGTAATTTTGGAAATATTTCAGCAAACAAACAATTAGGACTATACAGGGTGTCAATTTGAAAACTTCCCACCCCTATTATCTCGGAGTAGAAAATTTTTCGAAAATATCCCTGGAACACGTCAACTATAATTTGAAGGGGGTTTAGTTTTTATGCAAAATTCACCTTCCCTCTTTCAACCCCCGAACCCCCAGAGCCATCCCCTAGGAAATTTTAAATGGGAAGGGGAATCGAGTGATACATAATTTTTTAGGGTTTTTCATTCCATATATTTTGGTGCTAAATTTTAGTCCCTAAGTTCAACTGTTTTGGAAATATTGACAGTTGAAAATTGACTTTTTTGCTACTTTGACAGGCTGTAAAACCTAAACGGTTAATTTTAGAGGAAAACCGATCCTACATTCTTATCTTAGATTCTCATAAACTATCATTTAACACCATTTTTCAATTTAACCGGAATTTTTGATCGTGGATTAAATTCGAAGTTGCTGTCAAATGATAGTTTATGAAAATTTAAGATAAGAATGTAAAGTGTGTTTTTTTCTTTAAAGATAAAAGTCAAAATGACATTATGTTGGCAATACAATGTAAAATTGTCAATGCTTTCAAATTTTTTATGCAGAAAAGGCTTGTGTTGCCAACATAGTTACTAAATTTTTGACTTGGGGAATTATCTTAACAAAAAAAACGCACTTTAAGATTGGTTTTCCTCTTAAATTAACCGATTAGGTTTTACAGCCTGTCAAAGTTGCAAAAAAGTCAATTTTCAACTGTCAATATTTCCAAACCAGTTGAACTTAGGAACTGAAATTTAGTACCAAAATGTATGGAATTAAAAACCCTGCAAAATGATGTATCATTTGAACCCCCTTCCCATTTAAAATTTTCTAAGGGGTGGCTCTGGGGGCTGGGGGGTTGAAAGAGGGAAGGTGAATTTTGCATAAAAACTCGTCCTCCTTCAAATTATAGTTGACGTGTTTCAGGGAATTTTTCGAAAATTTTTCTACTCCGAGATAATAGGGGTGGGAAGTTTTCAAATTGACACCCTGTATATTATACTATACGTTCTAGGATGATATATTTTCAGGATTTTTACCTAAACAACCATTTATCGCACAGAATTTGCAAAAGCCCGGGTTTTTGAAAATTTGTATTGGTTGTTTTTGGCTTTTTGCGAGAGTTATGCTTTTGTAGGGTTTTTATGTTGTAAGATCTTTGACTCTTTGACATTCCAAATTATCTCAAACTCAGAACTCATAAACCCACCGGATTTTTGAAATAGGGTTTTCCTACGAGAAGAATGTTTTAATTCAAAATATAGGTACTACATATTTTTCACTTCAAATCAAATTACTATCTATAGGTCCTATTTTCCATTGAGAAAACCTAGATCTTACACAGATTTTTTGATCAATTTTTGATAAATGAGATGGATAAAAATACTTGTGGAAAAACATTACACCTAACTTTTGCGGAAAATGTCTTTTCCACCCTTGACAGCTTTCCAACTGCCGTCGCGTGCGGAAACGCACCACTTTCCGCACTTGTTAGATAAATAACTATTTGTTTATGCCAACTCTGAAAGCGCGTTACAGATTCACAACAAGATGGCGAATAATGCATGGAAAGGATTGTCGCCTGAATGTGATTTCATTAAGGAAGCATTTTTGAAAATTACCGGTAAAGAAATTTGTCGGGTTAAATTACCAAAATTACCGTTTCCGCGGTAACGTTACCACACTTTAATCTCTAATTTAAGTATTCCTTGAACTGACATTTCTCCATGGACTGTCATTGTAAGGATACTTATCATTAGGGCAACTCGTGTGCTGCTTCCGTGACTGAGCAACAGTCCTATTTAGGATCCGTTCTGCTCGCCCTAGAAGAGAAGGAGCTATAAAAGGTGCCCTTAACATGACCAGCCAACAAACTGTCCGACTGGATATAGCTCCGTCCAGAAGGTGCACCCTATGCGATCGGAACAAACAAATTCAATCTTGCCACGTGGAATATTTGAAAATTTATGGATACCTACCAGCACAAATACAAGACCACAAGGAAGAACGTCACTGGTGGCACGGGAATTAAGGAGATTTAACATCGATTTTGCAGCTCTAAGCGAAACCAGAAGATTTAGCGAATGTCAGTTCAAGAAGCACGGAGGAGCCTATACGTTTTTCTGGGAAGGAAAGGAAGAGAATCTTGCATCCACGGAGTGGGTTTCACCATAAAAACTTAACTGCAACTAAGCCTCAACAACAACCAACAAGCTACGCTATAATCAGCGCTGCAACCCTCAAAACTGACGATAACCAAAAAGAGGGATTTTATGCCCAGCTTAATCAAACCATGTCATCTGATAAACTTGTTCTCCTTGGTAATTTTAACGCCTGGCCTCCAGGTCAGTACAGAGTCAGATCTATGGAAAAGCGTGATCGGCAAGGAAGGCGTCGGAAAAACGAACTCAAATACTCGAATGGACTTCGGCTACTAATAACATGCTCAGAAATACTCAGAATATGACCCTGTAATAACGAATACACGTTTTCGACAAAATAATAAATTCAAGACTTCCTGGCAACACCCTAGGTCAAAGCATCTAATCGATTTATAATTGTACGTTCTAGAGACCAGGTTGACGTATGCATTACGAGAACTTTAACAAGTGCGGATGACTGCTGGACTGACCCTCAGCTGATACAAGCCAGAATGAAATTGCGCGTTTCCCCAAACCGTAGATGTAAAAAAAAGCAGTTCAACCAAAAATTCAACATAGAACGCTTTCAAGACGATCATATCAGGACAAACTTCCAAGCCTCTCTAAGCCAGAAACTTTTGTTAATGTACTTGGAAAGTAAAAGAAACATCAAGACTGGTTTGATGAGAATGACACTGGAAGTCAAGAATTTGTCGAAAAAACAAGAAGAGGAGAATACGAACAAGCAAAGGCAGAAATTGAAGGGCAAAGGCGAGCTTTAAAGAGCCAATGATGGATAACAAAATCAAACGAAATGCAACAACTAGTTGATTCCAACAGCGCCAGGGCCTTCTTTTAGATTACTAAGATAGTATACGGATCAACCACTCAAAGACTCAATCCCTGACGATCTAAAGATGGCACAAGACTGCTTAAAGACAGTTCTCCCATTCATTCTCGTTGGAAAGAACACTTTCAGGAACTACTTAACAGAGAATAAGAAATTATTATATCTTCAACGGAATTTCACTAAAACCAACACAACAAGCAAGAATTGAGCGAAGTTCCCCACTGAGCACTAAGTGCCCAACCCACATCCTAATGAGTAAAGTACGGATTACTGAGACCATACCTTCCGAACTTACAGATGCCTCAAAATCAGCAACCATCAAATTTTGTTCAGGAGATGCAAATTCAAGCAACAGGGTAGCTCTAACAAGTTACTATCAAAACGTTAGGGGTTTAAAAACAAAACTTACCATTCTTATGTGCAATATTTTCACCGGAAGCTATGATTTTCTGTCAATAACGGAGACTTTTTTGAAGAGTCGAGCGAATTGGGAATAAATGATAAACTCAATATTTCGCTGTGATCGGTCTGATAAAATTAATATCCATAAGTGGCAAGGTGGTGTTTAAATAAACCCAATGTGTGCTGGATCAATGATTTGTACCAACGGAGCTAGGACCTTATTGGTAAGCAATTTGAACAAACCACAGAGTTGGCAAACTGCATGGCTTTCTACAGCTTATATCAAGTATAGTTTCAAATATGTATGGGAACTTTCTTGATTTGGTATTTAGGACCTATTCGGGTTTGGAAAAAGTACGGTTCTAGAACGGTCCAAAAGCATTGCTCAATTTATTATTGAAATTTGTAATAGCCGAGGCGTTGTCAGTTTTTGAAATATTAATTTCAATTAAGCTTAATTTTAGTGAACTGGAATATGATTATTACTATATAAATTATAAAAGTTGTAATTGAGGCCCGAAGATAGATTTTTTACGTATATGTGTTCAGGGACACTTAATCCATTAGGACAATTAGGTCATGTCCTACGGGCCACTAGAGAATGAAGGCCAACTGCTGGCCTTTAATTTATAATATAAAATATAAAAGCCCACTATACTAAAAACATCGACTTGTTTAATAGCAGGACTACCATATATTTCAATACTCTTTAATTCTTATAATTCACACTGCACAAGCATATTTGGTTTGGCCAGAGTGCACTGCCTGACGTCACGAAGCTCTGGAATCGCTCCGCTCGCTCCATCGAGCATCAATCCGGAACACGCCCTAGAGTCACTGAGCTGCGCTGAATCGCCATCATGTCATTAGCGCAGCACGGGCACGTGGCAACTGGCTACGGCTACAGCAGAAACCTGTTAGTGTTTGCGCTGCTTTGCCAAATTGTAAGTTTTTTTGAGCTTCTTCTGGAGCATCCAGGGACTTGAGCAGTATCTTAAGGGTCCAGTGTACCACGAAGTCGTGCCTGGTTGTTGTTGAGCTTGTAGAACATGCACAGGCAACGTGATCAGTGGCGAGGCCAGGGGTGGGCCAGAGGGGGCCAGGGCCCCCACTGAAATGTAGCTGGCCCCCCCTGAAAACTTGCTCTAATGTCGGCAACAATGCAATGCAACATGCAGCCTCTTCCGGTTAAATTCGGTATTCGGTAAGCACAGGCCAAGAATCGTAAATTAACAGGATTGCTCATCCTCATAAGTCGTACTTTTGCCAATTCTCGAGTCGGCAGGGCCTGCGAGTGACGTCACTACTAGTTAGCAGCATAGCAGGATGACGATACTGTTTTAAACTAGGCTAATGCATTTTTCAACT